CCGCCCGCCCTTCCCCCTTCCATCCGCACCCTTGATTTGTCAAGCAATCGTCTCAATGGCACCCTTCATAATTTCCCTAAATCCAATTTAAGCTTCTTCAACATCAGCAACAACGTCTTCACCGGCCCCTTCCCTTCTCCCGCTTCCATCTGCTCACCTCAACTGACCGAAGTCTTGGATTTCTCCTTGAACCAGTTGACAGGCCCGGTGCCCCCGGGCCTCGGCTCCCATTGTTCTAACCTTCAAGTATTCCGGGCCGGTTTCAATTTCCTCTCCGGACAGCTTCCCGGTGACCTTCACCTCGCGAAATCCCTCACCCAACTCTCCCTGCCCAACAACCGGTTATCGGGCCCCATCACCCAAACTATTCTTAGCCTTTCCAATCTGAAAATCCTGGAGCTCCACGTGAACGAGCTGTCGGGCGAGATCCCCCGTGACATCGGCCTGCTTTCCAACCTCGAACAGCTTCAGCTCCACACCAACAACCTATCCGGGACCCTGCCCCCGTCCCTTGCCAGCTGTCCCAACCTCACCACCCTTCTCCTCAGGAACAATCGCCTAACCGGACAAATCTTAGACCTCGACTTCTCCAGGCTCCAGAACCTCCAGGCTGTCGACCTCGGGAACAACACCCTCTCTGGGAATATTCCAGCAAGCCTCTGCCTGTGCCGCTCTTTGACGGCAATCCGGCTGGCGTACAACCAGCTGACGGGCCAGGTCCCCCCGTGCATGGCCTCCCTCAAGTCCCTAGCCCACCTCTCCCTTTCGGACAACTACCTGTCAAACGTCAATGGGGCCCTCAGGATTCTAAGGCACTGCGACAATTTGGCCGTCCTCTTCCTGTCGAGGTGCTTTAAGGATGAATTGATGCCGGATCTTTTGCATCTCGATGGCTTCCGGAACCTTCAGATCTTCACCCTCGGAGGGTGCGGGCTTTCGGGCCAGATCCCATCCTGGATCTCCAAGCTCAGGAGGCTCAAGGTTCTGAACCTGTCCTACAACCGGATTACGGGGCCCATCCCAACCTGGCTGGCCGACATGCCCAGCTTGTTCGTGTTGAACCTTACCAAGAACAGCCTCACGGGCGGGCTTCCGCAAGAATTCGGCCACATGCCGGCTCTCATCTCAGACAACACGAGCTCCGACTTGAGCTACCTGGCACTGCCGTTTTTGTTCGATGCCCTTCAGTACAACCGTTTGTTCAACCTGCCGAGAGGATTGAAAGTGGGGAACAACAGTCTGGGAGGGAGTATCCCACCGGAGATAGGTCGGCTGGTGCTTCTCCACGTGCTGGAGCTCAGCAACAATGGATTCAACGGGAGCATACCTGACCAGCTCTCGGGGCTTGTCAATCTTGAAAAACTGGACATGTCTGGAAACCATCTGACTGGGCAGATCCCGGAGTCATTCACGCGTCTCCACTTTTTATCCACGTTCAGTGTGGCGAATAATGATTTGCAAGGGGAGATTCCTATAGGGGGACAGTTTGATACATTCCCAGCAGCCTCATTTGTCGGGAATCCCAAACTGTGTGGGGACGTGCTTCAAAGGAGTTGTCCGGTGGTGGTGGGGCCAATGGAAGATGAGCCCGATGATGATGATGATGGTTCATCGTCCAAGATCCCGTTTGGGGCTGGCTATTTGGTCGGTTTTTTGGCCGTCAGCGTCACTTGGGTGTTCCATTGTTCATGCAAAAGTGCCTCTGGCAGTCACGAAGAAACTGGGAGTTTTGGGTAGTTTTATGAAAATTGATTGGGAGTTTTTCGTGGCTTGTATAACTCATCAATTAGGTAGCTTGGATAATGATGAGTTATGGGCGGGTCTCCAGGTGCCAACCCGGTGGTGGCCATTGATCTAGTTAGCTGGTAGTGGAGTTTCTAGATCTGTGTGTTGGGCCGAGGGCTATTTCTGTCCTTGGGTGGTCGCCTTGGGTTTTTAGCTCGAGTGGCTCAAGTTGTTCAGTATTTGTGTTTTTTGTGTGTTTTGTTGGTTTGTAGTCTTTTTCTCCTGCTTTGGAATGTTGTGTTATTCTCCCGTTTGGGAGTTTTTATTCTCCAGTTGTAGGAGTTAGCTAGTTTGTTGTCGTGAGTGTGTTGTTTACTAGTGTGGGTTTTCGGCGACCTTCGAGTTTGTATTCCCACTAGATTCAGCTCTATGGTTGCTTGAGTCAGTTTGTTTGACTATTTTCTATATGTAATTATATGTGTTTTATTTATATACTCTTTCGTTTCCGAAAAAATAAAATAAAAAATGAATTGTGGGTAGTTTTTTGTAAACTGTTTGGGAAGATTTTCATGGATGTACATTGTGTGATAATAAACACGTTTAAATAATGATGATCAATTAGGTAGGTTACAATAATTTTCAAGAAAAAGATTGCTATGCTGAAATTAGCTTGCAATTTTCAATTACATGCAAGACTAAAATCCGAAGAGAACCGCAGTTTTAAATGGTTACTTATGTGGGCATGAAAAGCGGATGAAATTTTAAAAGTCTGAAGGCACTCCAAATTCAGATAAATTGCAATTCAATATCAACAACAGTACAAAGTACACAATAAGATGTTACAAGGCAAATACAAAAACACAGGTTTATTAGCAATTTTCAAGTACCGAGTTCTGTATTCAGTGTACCGTTCAAAAAGGAAGGGGTGAAACCGGAACCCCATGCTTTCGTTCTACCAGGACTGACATAACTGAACTAACATGCTTAACATATTTACAGTTCAACCCGAACTACAGAAGCCTTCCAGGTGCGCTATTCTTGATCTCTCGAGCTCTCACAATGTCCTTTTTGATATACATCCAACTCCTTCTCCTCGGTAAATAAATCTACATATAAAAGAAAATATGTCATAAATGTAAGAGAACAATGACACAAGTTCTATAAGAAGTTTGGCAAAGTCATCCTAACAAACTGTCTAAGAAGAAATAAAGGAAACTATTGCCTTAAAGTATACAAATGTTTAACCATTGCTTAATCTTTTTTCCCAAAATCGATTCACTAGCACGTTAGACTACATCAACTTAAATACAAGCAGTTTTTTTTTTTTT